CAAGTATGTATATTTCATTTAATTAATAACTGACAGTCCGTCGACTCAGTCGTAGTATGTGTAGTAATAGAATTTCGAATGCCCTATAGAATCTTATAAACAAATTAAGCAATGATTGAAACTGCTTAACCCACTACTTAACCAGTTCCTTGCTTTTTCGGTCCCCACATATTTGAGGCACACTGGTATTTTAAGGACAAATGAATGGAGAAATGAAAGCATAAATATTAAACGATACAGTCTTAGATCTGAAGGTTAAAACTTTGCCTATTTTTATACGGTGTCGAATCGTTCCTTCAGCTTTTAAAGCAACAAATGCTATAGTAAATTGTAGTACTGTTACTTACCTTGGTCTTAACACCAAAATACCTTGCAAACCAGCAAAACGAACTAAAATATATTTGCTATTTTATCCTGTGAGGGAAAAGCTGAATTTGTTGAACACACTATTATTACCACCATCCACAATTATCCATTAACCAATCAGATGCATGATTACTACCCGATTAACCAATCAGAGATGCACGTACTCCACCCGGATATCAGTTATCACACTCGTTTACTCGTTTGTTATCGTTGTTTTGATGACATCATGTTTTCAATGTTCTTTAAATTGTGCAAGAATTTTCGCGCGCTTTTCCGCGCGTTTTGGACTGGAACCAGTGACTGGAACTGGACGGGACAAGCAGTTGACTGGACTCGGATAACATGGACTCAGTCAGCGATTTGTAAAACATGGACTCATGCCTTTTTAACATGGACTCATGCCTTGTTTTTTGTCTATTAAATTAGATACACATGTGTTCACACTGCTTGTTGCCAGCTGTTTGTTAAATAGTTGACAACTTTCATTTGTAGCAAATGAAGAAGAAGTATAGAAGTATAGAGTGGTAGTATAGAAGAGTTTTTCTATGAGAGGGGGGAGGTTGAAATCGTATATTTATTATTGATTAAATGGGGGGAAAGGTGTGCGCCCAGGTGAAAAAGTGCTGATTGACGGAAATTTAGGGCTCTACATACGGAAGAGGTTATTTCGCTGGCCTCAGAGTGACAAAACGTAACAAAGCAACGGTTTACTTATAACACTAACCGTATTCCAAGCACCAACTCTAACCCTAACCTAACCCTACTGATAAAACCCTGGGTACGAGGTTGCCCTACTTCAAGTTTGTTTCTAAACCAATCTTGAAGAAAAAAAGTCTTGACGAAATGTTATTCTGAGGTCAGCGAAATAACTTCTTCCTCTACGCACGGAGAGTCAGTTTAATTTGTCGGGTATGCAAATATCCGGAATTTGCGTCACGTGCTTAAAGCTTAATTTATGCAAGATTATGAGTCGGCCGAGGGTTAATTTATGTGTAATTTATGCATAAATTGCGGTCGTGGTGAATTAAGGCGTGGTCAGGGATATGCATGGTAATTAATTGAGGGGATTGGGTCGGGGGATGGTGGATGTTGTCCCAAAGCCTCGGTTGAACCAACTAATTAGCATTTGAATTTGGCGGTATTATTATAAGTTATTTCGCTGGCGCCAGAACTGACATTTCGTCAACATTTTTTTCTTCAAGATTGGTTTAGAAACAAACTTGGAGTAGGGTCGACTCAGCCAAAAAAGCGTAACCGCTGCCACGCCATGATTCGTAATCAAAATGCTCACGACATGGTTTCTGGCCAGTGCGCTTATGAGAAACATCCCCCCTGGACATCTGCCATTTTGAATATTATCAGGGGGTGAATGCCTCTCATAAGTGCACATGCTGCCTTTGATTCCTTGGGAGTGAGGCAGCACTCTTGCGTGAGTAACTTCTAGTTATAAGTTATTTCGCTGACCTCCGAATGACATTTCGTCAATGAAATTTCGTCAATGAAATTTCGTTGGTTTAGAAACAAACTTAGAGTAGGGCAGGGGCGGCGGAACAGGGGGGGGGGGGCTAGGGGGGCTAAAGCCCCCCCAAAATTTTGATAATTAGGGGGGGGGTCGCCGAAAAAATTTATCCCCCCCCCCCAGAACGAAATCTGTTCCGCCGCCGCTGGAGTAGGGTTAGGTTAGGGTTAGGATTACGGTTAGGGTTAGAGTTCGTGCTTGGAATACGGTTTGTGTTAGTAAAACCGTCGCTTTGTTACGGTTTGTCACTCTGATGCCAGCGAAATAACCTCTTCCTATTATTATACCGCACGTGTGATGGGAGGAAAGGAAAATGACGTCAAAAGGGAGCGGACAAATCTGATTGGTTCGTGATGAGGTCATCGTTTTATCACGGTGTCTGTAAAAAGCGCGATTTTTGTTTAAAATATCACAAAACAAGTGTGAGGTACGAACATAACGAAGAAATTAAAAACCTCGTTGTTGGAGAACTAATCTCTGTGTGGTAATCAGTCCAGCCGTGTAATCTATTGTGTAATTAATTTTATGTAATAGTTTGTGTTAAATGGCAAAATCTGTAAAATAAAAAACACACTGTCGTACGTGTATAGATCGTGTTGAAGTTACTAGGTTTCAGACTAAGTTTGCTTTTTAGGGTTTATTGTTGAATGTTGGAGTAATTGTTGGAGTAATTGTTCACGGTTAATCGTTACAATGATAGTTTGTGTTCTTATACGCATGATAGAAAACGAAGAATAAAGATACAACGAATCAGGAACAAGGTTTTCGTTTGGACAGGCGTTATACTCAGGCTAGACAGGCGTATACGCTTCTAATCGGCGTGTTAGCCAGCACACAACGCTTGGAATAGTCGTTTGCGGTGTAATGGTTATAATTATTTGTTCTTTGCTTGGGTGTTATAGTAAAAGGGTTTAATACATGTCTTACAGGATGTAATCGATTTGTTTCATGGGCAAGACCTGATAACTATAGTGTCGAAAGTTTACCTACGATTATACTTACGAGTTACGTTCGTATTTGGCGCAGAAATTGGTTATATGCAGGGACGTCGCTATAGGGGAGGGGGGGGGGGGGTTAAAAGG